CAAAGTAGAAAAACGGTGAGCATTATATCAATCAGAGCCTCCCACACATCTCAACAAACTAGAAAAACGGTGAGCAATAAATCAACAAAAGCCTCCAGCACATCTGAACAAAGTAGAAAAACGGTGAGCATTATATCAACCAAAGCCTACCACACATCTCAACAAAGTAGAAAAACGGTGAGCATTATATCAACCAAAGTCTCATACGCATCTCAACAAAGTAGAAAGACGGTGAGCATTATATCAACCAAAGCCTCCCACAGACCTAAACAAAGAAGAGAAACGGTGAGCATTATATCAACCAAAGCCTCCCACTTATCTCAAAAGTAGAAAAAAGATGAGCATTGTATCAACCAAAGCCTCCCAGACATCTCAACAAAGTAGAAAAACGGTGAGTATTATATCAACCATAGCCTCCTACACATTTCAACAAAGTAGAAAAACGGTGAGCAATATATCAACCAAAGCCTCCAGCACATCTGAACAAAGTAGAAAAACGGCGAGCATTATATCAACCAAAGCCTCCCACACATCTCAACAAAGTAGAAAAACGGTGAGCAATAAATCAACAAAAGCCTCCAGCACATCTGAACAAAGTAGAAAAACGGTGAGCATTATATCAACCAAAGCCTACCACACATCTCAACAAAGTAGAAAAACGGTGAGCATTATATCAACCAAAGCCTACCACACATCTCAACAAAGTAGAAAGACGGTGAGCATTATATCAACCAAAGCCTCCCACAGACCTAAACAAAGAAGAGAACCACACATCTCAACAAAGTAGAAAAACGGTGAGCAATAAATCAACAAAAGCCTCCAGCACATCTGAACAAAGTAGAAAAACGGTGAGCATTATATCAACCAAAGCCTACCACACATCTCAACAAAGTAGAAAAAAGGTGAGCATTATATCAACCAAAGCCTCCCACACATCTCAACAAAGTAGAAAAACGGTGAGCATTATATCAACCAAAGCCTCCCACCCATCTCATTAAAGTAGAAAAACGGTGAGTATTATATTAACGAAAGCCTCCCACATTTCTCAACAAAGTAGAAAAACGGTGAGCATTATATCAACCAAAGCCTCCCACACACCTCAACAAAGTAGAAAAACGGTGAGCATTATATCAATCAGAGCCTCCCACACATCTCAACAAAGTAGAAAAACGGTGAGCAATAAATCAACAAAAGCCTCCAGCACATCTGAACAAAGTAGAAAAACGGTGAGCATTATATCAACCAAAGCCTACCACACATCTCAACAAAGTAGAAAAACGGTGAGCATTATATCAACCAAAGTCTCATACGCATCTCAACAAAGTAGAAAGACGGTGAGCATTATATCAACCAAAGCCTCCCACAGACCTAAACAAAGAAGAGAAACGGTGAGCATTATATCAACCAAAGCCTCCCACTCATCTCAAAAGTAGAAAAAAGATGAGCATTGTATCAACCAAAGCCTCCCAGACATCTCAACAAAGTAGAAAAACGGTGAGTATTATATCAACCATAGCCTCCTACACATTTCAACAAAGTAGAAAAACGGTGAGCAATATATCAACCAAAGCCTCCAGCACATCTGAACAAAGTAGAAAAACGGCGAGCATTATATCAACCAAAGCCTCCCACACATCTCAACAAAGTAGAAAAACGGTGAGCAATAAATCAACAAAAGCCTCCAGCACATCTGAACAAAGTAGAAAAACGGTGAGCATTATATCAACCAAAGCCTACCACACATCTCAACAAAGTAGAAAGACGGTGAGCATTATATCAACCAAAGCCTCCCACAGACCTAAACAAAGAAGAGAAACGGTGAGCATTATATCAACCAAAGCCTCCCACTCATCTCAAAAGTAGAAAAAAGATGAGCATTGTATCAACCAAAGCCTCCCAGACATCTCAACAAAGTAGAAAAACGGTGAGCATTATATCAACCAAAGCCTCCCACACATCTCAACAAAGTAGAAAAACGGTGAGCATTATATCAACCAAAGCCTCCCACACATCTCAACAAAGTAGAAAAACGGTGAGCATTATATCAACCAAAGCCTCTAACACATCTCAACAAAATAGAAAAACGGTGAGTATTATATCAACCAAAGCCTCCCACACATCTCAACAAAGTAGAAAAACGGTGAAATCTCAAAAAATCCATATAAGATTATGTATTTGCTTGAAAGCCAAAAATGTTAATTTACAATAATAACACTCAAAATCATTTTTTTCTTGTTAAAAATGTGAAACTCTTGCTCTTGTCTTCACTGATTTTACTTTTCAATAAGTTTGTTGGGACGTGTAGGAGGCTTTCTTTGATATAATTTTTAGCAATCAACATAGTAGTTTCAGCGTACTTTTTTGTTAACTAAAACGACCAAAACGACACAGTTTTGAGGTACAATTTTGGTTCCGAATGACGCAAATTGAAATGCAATATAACAAAACTGGTTTTTGTTTTGTTCACATTTTCTCTTATTTCGACCGACTTTGAGAAAAACGCTTTTAAATTTACCATTGTTAACTGCGAAACTCACAACCAAAATATTACATCACAAATTGGTCCTTTCGGTTTCTGTTAGTAAACCAAGAATTACGTTAAAGTCACTAAGGTAATTGACAAGAAAATTAGATCTATTGAAACTTTTTATGCATCCCAACAAAATTCTGACAGAGCAAAGTCTCCTAAAATATGTGATGTCCTGATAATTGTTATCAGCACAGTGGTATCTACAGCCTTTTCCATCTATTGATTTAAAAATTTGAGGTATTTCTGAATAGCAGCTATTCTAAACGCTTCTTCATTATATGTATTCTGACGAAAAAAAAACTAAAATTGCGTTTAGTTTTATACACAGGTGGAAAATCTTTAAAATTTTTACAGGCAAAAGATAACAGATTTTTTTAAAAAAATTTTAATTAAACTCGAAGTTTTTTAGTTACGCGCAAAAAAGGTAACAATAGGCATGTACGCCAAAAATATACAAAAATTGCTTTAAAACGATATCTATTCAGCAAGCGATTTAGCCTCATTTTTTTGTTATGAAAATTCAATTGATCTGATTGAGAAACTATATTTGATTTCGCCAAAAAAAGTTGGCAAGCAGCACGCTTTTTGAACAAAAAATTTCAGTCGAAATTTTGAATATAATCAGCAAACAACACACGTGTATCAGAAGCATTGTCAAACTGCAGAGAGTTTGATCAGTGAAATTAGACTAAAACAAGACCCATTCTAAATGCCAGAAATCAAGAAAGTAGAAGGTCGAGTTTGTCAGATAAAAGCTTCTTACAAAACCGAAAAAGCAGCAATAGTGACAGTGACAGAGACAAGAAGAAAAAAGGCATTTGATGCGGCCGCTGATTGTCGAAAGTCATCTGAAGAACTGCCCGGTAACGGGCAAAGAGTGTAAAAATCAAAAAAAAGCCTAATCATTTTGCCAAAATGAGCAAACTACAACAAGTGATTGAAAATATAGATGACTCTTTGAAAAAATCAAGGGATTGCGACCTAATGAAAAACGCGGCGAGGAGTTTGAGATAATGACTAGAGACCACAAGCACGGCACAGAGATTAAAACGTACGTATTCAAACACATTGAAACAGAAAGACAGGCAACTACGCAAACAGCACAGTTCCAGATCAGAGAAATCGAGATTGGAAAGAACTCTAGATCTAGAAGGATGAAGTTAATTGGAGCAGTAGTCAGAGTAAACAGCCACATAATTCACTTGACGGCGGTTACAGGGTAGCCTCATCTCCTTTATAAACCGGATTACAGCAAAACAAAGAATAGAATGAGCATAAAATGCGAAGTTCAATCAGCTGAAAACGAATAAAAACAAAGAAATTTATAATAAAAAAGCGATCAAATTTTTGAGAGAGCTCGATACAAAAATGACATCAACAGGACGGGTTATTCGAGAGGGTATCTTGTTAATTACAAAACGAAAAACAAGCTGTATCATTGATCTAGATCTTCAAGGTAGTTTGGAAAATTCTACGTCAGAAAAAACAGAATTACGATCGAAATTGCGCATCGATGGGCCAAAGTTTCAATACGGGGTTATGCACATGGTCAAATTAAAAAGATCAAACATCTTTGCGCGTCACAAAGAAAATCAGATTTTTACCAAGAAAAAACAATTCAAGAAAAAGAGGCACATTCTGATACAAATTCATGCAAAAGTCGAGAAAAACAAAGAAACTTTTTTGAAAGAAGATCATATTTAGTAGCATGAAAAAGGTACCAATGACTCATTGAGAGAATCACTGAGAAAAGAAAAGGAAGAAGATAACTATCTTAATTTCTAGATCTGAATTACGACTACAGTCAGCTAAAACCAGATTCCGTAACAGCCAATTAGATTAACTTCAACATCCTTGAAGCAAATGCGATGTATTTCTAAGGACTGGGCGACACGCTGGCAGAATTTTAGAAAGCGAAGTATCGTAAGTTGAACCTTGCTAAAAAGTTTTCTGCTTTTTTGACTATATATCTTCACAGCTTCTAAAGGAGGCGAAGAAGAACACTTCAAATTAGTAGAAAAGGACATGAAAAGATAAGATAATGAGAACTTATCGCTGAAAGCATCAAATTGCAAATTGTTAACCGACCAAACAAATTGGTTAGGTCATCAGTTATCGATTAAAGGGGCAATATCAAAAATCTCAAAAACGGAAACGTTGAAGCATTTCAGGTTAGTTTTGGCTAGTAAAAATCAGTTTGTAAAAGTTGTGCTGAATGCGTCCAAGTTAACTGAAGGCTTAACACCTTTCTTGACTAGTGTTGTACCGGTATCCGGAATCCGGTTCGATTATCCGGTTTTTCGAGAAATTATCCGGAATCCGGTATCCGGAAAAAAGGAGAGAAAAACTAACCGGATTCCGGATATTGATTTTTAACGCAGAAAAAAATGCCCAAAAAATGTTTGAATTCTTAAAAGACAAAACAACAACAGAAATGATTACAAATCATTTTAACAAAAACAAAACCAAATCACTTCAAAAGTGGAAGATTATCATGTAAAAGCACCAGTATTTCAGAGAAGTTGCTGTTGAGCCGGTTTCGTTTCTCAGAGAGAACATTGCCAGATGTACTGAAAACTCGTTCACTTCTGACTGAGGAAGCAGGTGCGCTTAAGACTTGTTTCGCCCAATTTTTTAGTGCAGGAAACCGCGTCTCTGATTTCCAGTAACAAACTGGATCTTTAAGAGCCATGTTCGATCTCGGCAACGAAGAGTATTCAGAAATTTCGCTATCGAGATGGGAGACTGTAGATGGGGTAGCAGGTGTAACATCTTCTTCTGCCAACCAGAAGTTGCAAGAACTCTGTTCACGAGGTGCACTGTTTGCTTCTGGCGTGATGACCTCAATGTCAGGTGTTTCACCCAGAATGTCTTTGATTTGATCCAAAACGACAGGGGAGATGTACTTGTCTTTGAAACGCGGGTCTAGGAAACTAGCCAAGCAAATGTAAGGATCCAAAGTGTAATAATTGAAACGTTTGTCCAGAGCTTCTATCAGACTAGCTTTGAACGTTTGGACTCCATGGTCGTCTCCAAGATTCAGAAGATGAGATCGCAAGAGAGAGTAGCCTGGAACTATGAGCGACAGACTTGAGGTGTCAGCTGACACATCAAGAGTGAATTGCTCACATGGTTTGAGAATTTTAACAACCTTGTCTAAAATCGACCATTGGTTCGAAGACAATTGGTCAACATTGTTATCTGCAGAATATAAAGTAACGGCAGCTTTCTGATCGATCATTCGCTCAATCATGCGTAGTGTCGAATTCCATCGGACTGACACATCTTGAATGAGTTTTTTATGAGACATACCCAACTGATCCTGCACTTGCCTCAGTTTTTCACAAGCTTGAGCCGAGTGACTGAAATGACCAATTATCTTTCTGCAAACTTTCAGTGCGTCCGTAATTACTCTTTGACTTGTAATCGCATCGTTAACACACAGTTGGATAGTATGAGCTGAACACCCCGCCCATTTGACACCGAAGGTTGTTATTGCATTTTTCATGTTGCTGGCGTTGTCAGACACGCAGAAAAATATTTTCCCGACCGGAATTTCCCAGTCGTTGACAAGATTTTGCAGTTTTTCTGCAATGTTGACTCCTGAATGTGTGCCCGGGAAAGGAGACGTGTTCAAAACTAGAACTTTACGCACATAATCGGTGTTCACAAAGCAGCACGTCAAACTCAAAAAACACATGTTGTTAACCTGTGAAGTCCAAATATCTGTGGTTACAGATATGAACTCACCAGCTATGAGTTCTTTCATTTTCGTTTTCACCTCTGTGAAAAGCAGGTCAATTTCGTTTCGAATGTAGGGTCTGGATGGAAGACAGTACCTTGGCTCTATTGTAGTTAATAATTCTTTGAAACCAGAATCTTCGACGATTGAAATCGGTTGAACATCAAGAGCAATCATCTCAGCCACTTTTCTCGTTATTTTTCGGGCTTTCGAATTGTCATGCGGCCAAACTCTCACGTCTTCGAATGCTGAGAGAATAGATGGTTGATTTGCCGGTAAATTCTGCACAATCGAGGTTCCAGGCTGACTCAGTGCAGCTTCGTACTGTTCGAATAAGTTGCGATGTTTGGAGCGCAGGTGATTCACGAGAGGAGTAGTAGAGTAGCTGGACGGGTTTTGTCCTCTTTTGATCGCTTGTTGGCAAGAAGAGACATTGCATTTAGCATGCGTGCTTTGGTTCGACTGTATGTTGAAATAGTTCCATATGAGAGCCCGCCTCTTGTCCATGATTTCACTAGCTCGTGCTCGACAACAACTTCGTCTGAAATCAACCACTTGCTTTGTTAGCACAGTGAACTAAGTTCCCAGCTTTGATGTATGTGAAAAGAGGCACTTTGGCTGAACAAACAAAGTGTGAATTGCGCGTAATTAAAGAACATTCTACTATCCGGAATCCGGTTCAATATCCGGTGAATCATGGCAATAATTATCCGGTATCCGGAATCCGGTAAAACTCAATCCGGTTACAACACTATTCTTGACGGAAAAAGTAGAAAAGAAAACTGTTAGTAAATTGAAGAAATAGTTTAAGAAACTTTAATTGGACGACTGCACACAAAAGATTTTTGAAAAAAAAAATCGCAGATGCTGTAGCAACTATTTCATTTCATTAAAATAGTCCGACACGGGACACAAAAGTAAAAAATGATGCGAGCTATAATGGGTTAGGAGCCAGGTTAGAACAAATAAGGGACTTTGTTTGCATCGTGATAACAAAATCTTCAAGAAAAATTAGACTCCACTAACAAGCTAGCGTTCTGAGCACTAGTATGGGCAACCAATAGATTCAAACACTGGCTGTCAGTGCAAATTTTTACGATTGCTATGGATCATCAGGCCCTACTGTCCGCTTCAGGGTTGAAAAGGGCCCACGAAGATTGCCTGTCAAGCTTGAATAGGTGGGCAGATCCTTTTTTTACCTTTCCAGTTTAAAATCACACTTTTACCCGGAATAGATACAGGTAACGTATATTACGTTTTTAAGACCCGTCAGGCGAACTATTGGATGAAACAGAGTATGACAAAAAAATTGTAGTCGGATCGATTAATTGGTTTTACGAAGCGATGGGTTACTAAAGCAGTCAATTTAACGATCAAATTTCTACCGGAAAAAAGTCGGTTTTGAAAGCAGACAGCTCAAAGTAGGTCATTTTGACGAAAATGGTTGCTATAGCAACGAACATTTCAAAAGCCAAACAAAGCTTGACGGGAAGGAAAACGGTCACAAGCCATCTAGTTTCGTAGATAGAGCAATCATTATCTCATCATCGGCAATAGCATTCAGTCAGAAAAAAACAATAAAAAAACGGATAAAGCAGACAAAGTAATTTAAACCCTAAAATGTAGACATATGGAACAAATCCGGAGAAAAACAGAAAAAGAGACAGGTGTCCCGATAACCAAGAGAAATTCACTTTGCTTGCCGGCGGGAAAAAAAAGCAAAAACGAAATTGTCCTCGAAAAACAGGTGGAGTTCGTCGATGTCGGAAAAAGTAAGAGATAATACGACTCGGAGCATAAATTAAACCCTTTGCAGAACTTATGCAGGGTCTCGCGCCAGAGGAACAGGGTCAAGCTCCTCGGTCAGTAACATTAGTGGCCGAAGAAAAAATGGTAACCATCAACAATTGTCCCAGAAAAAAATCTGACCGAAATTCACGTGACCAAATCAAAAAAGTTCGTTCCGTCTAGACTAAAGTCAGGAAAAAGGGCTGTACAGGCAGCGTCGGAGGTACATAAAGCAAAAAAGCGAGGCCATTGACTGTCAACACAGTAGAACACGGATTCAGTTGACAACCTAGAGATGTTAATCGACAAGAGTCTGCTACTAGAGCTGATCTCAGGAGACACGGAGCTGGACAGAATGCGACGTGCGAATGAGATAAACGACAGGAAGCATTTTGAGCTAATTGGGCCCTATACAGACCACTGTGGAACCAAATAAGCGTGGTGGACGATTGTATTTTTGTGAAAAACTCTTGGTGGTACCGAAAAAACTGAGGAAAGCTGCACTCACGAGACTCCATGGAGGCCATCCAATGCTGGATGATGTGCCAATGCATCATTCCTGGCCATATTTGCATAGAGACACTGTAAATATGGCCGAAGAATGCCGCAAAAGTATGTATTCACTATGGTAAGTACCTACAAAACTTAATCCTGAAAATTGTGTCGAAACCATTGCCACTGTTGAAACAGCCCAGGCAGAACGTTTTGTCAGCTTATGCGGGCCCGATTAAACAAATCAGTGGAAGGATATGTACCTACTAGTAGGGATTGATCGAATTTTGAAATGTGCCTCATTGAAGGTAACAAAGTTCACCGGTAGCAACACTTCAGTCAAATTCCTCAGAAATTAATAGATGTAAAAATAAGACCAGAATTCTTTTGAAGAGATCAGCTCTCGTGGTTTAAGAGAAAGACAATGGAATAGTTCTGTGCAAATTGCAGTATCAAATATATCTTTCCTTCTCAGGGTGACCTCAGAGAATGCGGTCTTGTCAAACAAATATCAAAAACTGGAGGTTATGCTTTCGGAGGAGAAAGAAAGTCAATTAAACTATGTTTTAGTATGAAGACACGAGAGCTAAGATGGGCTGGCTAATAGGATCGTACGAGATTGATTCTGAACTAATTCTAACACTATAGATAAAAAGGATTTGCAGCAGTCGATATTGACAGCATCGCAGCGCAAGAGAGAACCGACTAGGGCCGGGAAAACAAGATGATCATGCGCATGAGACATATAAACCGACGCGTTAGTCCCTTATTTAAACAGCAGACAGCGGGCATGAAAAACAGCGAATGCAACAAGTGTTTAAAAACTTCTTAGAACCAAACGCTGCAGGGAACGAGATTACGCCAGACATGGTGCGGAATGAAATGCAGGTGAATATGGGACAAAATTGTGGGATCGAATCCACAGTTGAAAAAGGAGCTACAATGTTCCGAAAAAAAAACGTTTTTTTTTTTGGAGAAAAAGATGAACAGATATGGAAGAAGAATATAAAAGATCTTTCGGAAAAAAGGTAACATAAAGATCCCAAAAGACGGTCGGGAAAAGCGCCAACGATTATAAAGTCAAAACCGGTAGATAAAGAATCAAAGTAAACAATTACCACATAAAAGGAGCTATATATCAAGAATCTGCAATCATCTGAGAAAAACAAAAAACAAAGCTACGGGTTTATAAAGCAAGGCACCAGAGGGAGAAGCTACAGTGCAAAAGCGAAAAAGAGACTCGGAATCAAATGATGACATTATAGAGGTCTTTCCGAAATATTCTTTTGTTAGAAACTTCAAGAAAGCGAATCAATTTTGACATCGAAGGATACCGAGGCTGGTGGGGGATCAATCTAGGGGCACATAAAAAAAAGTCCTTAGCCGGAATCAAGGAAAGTCACTGTAATAACCTCGGAAAAAAAGCTGTCTTTGCAGGAAGTTGAGCAAAAAAGGCCTGTTCATGTTTTTTCCAGAAAATTTGACCGTGCAAAACTGAAGTTCAATCTCTATAAAAACACTTTGGTTATAGAATTGGTCACAGAGTAACAAATTTTCTCGGAGTAGAGAGAATGTGGTACTGCTGAGGCAATAGCCAATTACGCTGCCACATTTTTGTTATTAATGTGCTATAATGCCGGTCCTGATCAATATCAGCCATGGTGTTTGATCTAAAAGATCAGAGCTTTAATTCAACATGCTGATTATTTGCTTATGATTCAGTGCTAGTCTGGAAACTCTGAGAAAACTATTGTTTGTAACTTATGAATTCAACATTACGGAAAAACGGTTGTTACCGAGATCATAGGATATCACGGAGAGTTTACTGCTACATTTAAATTGTCAATTGGAAACGGCCCAAAAATCAAAATTGAATCAAAATGAAAACTAAAACTGAAACTGATCCTGATTGGCTAATATTACGATTGATACTGAGAATTTCAAAGAGACAGACAGTAATTGTATGTTGATTACGTGTTCTCAATTTGAAATAAAATTTCTGACTATTTTCCTAATTTTGGGCCGTTTAATGCATAAGACCCCTGAAAAGATTTTATTCGCATGGGTTATTGATGTTTTTCTAAGAATTGTCTGTCTGCTTTACCGTTGTGTCTGGGAGTTTTTCTTTCCCTTTTCAACTGATTTTTTCTAAACCGCAAAGAACAATTGAGAAAAGCGAGAGATTTTGCGAGGTAGTTTTATCCCAAAAAAAAGATCCTGATTCAATATTTTGGTATATTTTTTGCGTGTTCTCCTCTCAGGATGATTCTTTATCCATACTTTCAGAAAAGTGTTTGAAGTGCTGACAAATTTTCTGAGGGCAAGGGCACTACTGCACTACTCTTTTCTAAATCTGCGGCTAAATTATAGGAAAATCAAGTTTCCTCACCCAGATGTTTTCAGAAGATTGTCACGGGTTTGAGAAGTGTTTTATTTTTGTTCAGTGAATGTGGACAATTTACGGGCGGAGGCTGGAGATTTCACCAATTTGCACACTCCTCGCAGATTACTATCAATCCATGCTGTATTCATAGCACCGCAGTGAGTTGACCATAACTCTTGAAATCTTTTGTCACGAGAGTCATGTTACTCATGGTTAAGTGCTTGACTTAATCTAAGCAAAAACGCTTCGGAAATTTTTATTTTTAAAAAAAACTTAACGTCGCAGCCGACCGATAATTCAGTGATCTGAAAATGGCAATTTGCCTCACGGCAAACTAACATAGTGGTTCGAAATAATTTTTTTTCTCCGTAAACCAACATAGCAAACATTCAGAAACTAAAACGATTAGCAAAAAAATCTTTCCAAAAAAACTCACGAATTATGTTTTCAGTCTCCAGTTGCAAGTGAAGGTGGGAAATAACATTGCGATGCTGCGACTGGGGGAACCCCTTGCCACTGATGATATCTCCCAGGTGTTGCCGCCATGCACTTGCAACATGCAACACGGCATCGCACTAGGCACCTGTGGATTAGGTCAGCCTCACATTTTTTATGGATTAGATTTACAATCTGCCAATTAAAAAAATGTCACAAATGTATGGATTTCCTCTTAATTTTTTCCCTTTAGTACTTCTTTTACAGCATTGGCCACTAGCCAATGAAAAAGACCATTTGACTGTCAGCCATAAATCAAACAAAAAATATCGAAACTAAAAATACTCAAATTTATTAAATTTGAAGCAGAAAAAATATTAGGATCTTTTAAAATGATCTTTTAAATATTTCAAGCAAATTCAAAATACAGATGTAATCAATAGAATAAAAAGAAATGGATTGCGCGTACTCGTTTTTAAGTTTTCGATTGCGGATAGACTTTTTGTGGATCATAAAATCACGAAAAATGCATATCCGAGCTCGACAACAGAAAATGTCAATTTTTTCCCTAATTTTTCGACCATCGAACGTTCTTAGGACAATAAAAATGTCCTAGTTTTTCTACCATCGTGACCAAGATAAGCTATTTC